ATATTTGAGGATATTGTAGAAAACTGCAGAAGAATATGTCGAAGAAGTGTAAGAATATAGATAGCCAGTTTAGAAGACAATTCAAGACGCTGAAGACTACTGAGTGGTATAGGACACTCTAGAAAACTGCAGAAGGCAAGTGTAGTTCTTCGGCTGAGTTTCCTGCATTTTCCTACGCTTCCCAATGCTTCCCAACATTTCCCAACGGTTCCCAACGACTCCCAACGGCATCCACACAGTCCACTATAGATAAGGATAGCCAGCGGCGAGACATGCACAGAAGCAGCTATATGATTCCAGATGCTGGCAGGGCGCCAAAGGTTCCGCGGCAGAAGCGCTCGCAGCAAGTTCTGATCGCGAGGACCTGGCGCAGGCGCACGTGGTACGTGCGCGTGCGTGGGTGGGTGCGATTGGGTGGGCAGGAATGTGCGTGCGTGCGTGCGTGCGAGGTATGTGCGTACGTGCGTGCGTGCGTGCGTGCGTGCGTGTGTGTGTGTGAGATTGTGTGTGTGATTGATTGTGATTGTGTGTGATTGTGTGTGTGATTGTGTGTGTGCGTGCGTGTGTATGTAAATAGTTCTGGTTATTATTGGTTATTTCATGTTATTTCATGTGATTTCTAAGTATTTCTATATATTTCTATGGTTTGATCGGTTGTTGCATGTTGTTGCACTGCGAAAGAAGCCACCGGTCTGCTCCATGATTTTCCAATATTTTCCACGATGCGTTTGCAGGGCGCTATCTGCGCTTCAGCAGAAGCATCGTCAGCTGCGCAGAAGGACCCAGTGCAGTGCAACTTGTTGAGCAGTGTAGCAAGATGTAAATTCATGTAAATTCAAGACAATTCAAGTAAGTGACAGTAAGTGACACCCGCACAGCTCTTGCTCAGCTTCCCCAACTGTGCCTACACCGCGCTTGCGCTAGCCAGGACTGGAGCCCGCATTGAAACGGAGGCGGGCCGCCTCCCTGCAAGGTCGACTGCATCGCTGCAAAATAATGCAAAATAATTTCTTTTGTAGCACGCAAATATGTGTGAATATTTCTATGGTTTGATCGGTTGTTGCATGTTGTTGCGCTTTGACAGGAAGCCACCGGTGCTCCTTGAGTGCCTGTGAGATGGTGATGGTTTTGCAAGATCTTGCAAGTGATGCTGTGGGAGGCCGTGGGACATATGATGACATATGATTTCATATGATGACATTTGAGATTTTCCAATATTTTCCAATATTTTCCAATATTGAAATCGCTACACGGTCCGCCAACGCCAGTGGGGTGCAAGGGATTGAGACCTTTTTTTCCTTTTCGAAAGTGCCACAACATGCCACAACAAGGCCTTCCTCAGTCAGGAAACATGCCCCAGATGCTGGGGATGTGGGGAATTGCACTGAATTGCATGGAATTTCAAAAAACACTCACTTTTGCAAATTCAGCCAGCTCCCAACGTATCAGCACTTGGCCCCACCCGGACCGATTCCAACATCGCTTGAAACAGCAAAGCACCATTAGTATCTGCAAAAACTGGAACACATTCATAGCAGCAAGTTAATCCTGATGATGCTGGGGATGCTGCACGTCCGGGGAAACCCCCCTCCCAGGAGACCTAGAAGAAACGCAGCGCTTCAACACATGCTTCAACAGAAGAATCGTCAGCTGCCCAGAAGGACCCAGTGCGGTGCAACTTGTTGAGCAGTGTAGCACGATGATGCAAGATGTACATGTAAGATAATTCAAGTAAGTGACACCCGCACAAGCTCTTGCTCAGCATCCATCAGCTTCCCCAACCGTGCCTACACCGCTCTTGCGCTAGCCAGGACACAGGCGGAGTCCGCATGGAAACGGAGGCGGGCCGCCTCCCACGTGCGCAGAGTGTTGCAGAGTGACATAGAGTAATATAGAGTATCATAGAGTGACACAAGATGCGAATGCGAGCAAATGATGCACACGCTTCTTCTCAGCTTCCCGAACTCTGCTTGCACCGCGCTTGTGCTAGCCAGGATGCAGACGCAGCCCGCACTGAAAAGGAGCCTGGCCATCACCTGTGTGCACGCATGTGTGTCAGCATGTTGGCGGCGAAGACGCCAAAGGTGAAGGCGCCTGATACTTTTCTCATCTTTTCTCTCTCTTGGCAGTGCTACACAAGCCTAGGGCATCCTAGGGCATTCTAGGGCACAAGGGTGTTTTGTGGAGTTATGTGGAGTTACGTGCAGCCTGCGGCGTGAGTTTGTTTTGCCTTGCAAAAGCTACACGTCCCTATCCACGGCCCGACTCATGAGCTTTCCCATTCCTATGCCGAAGGCAAAATCAAAGGCAAGCGCGAAGGCGGGGTGCCGAGGGGTCGCAGCCTTCTGCTTGTTGATCCACGATGATCTACGTCAATCCTGTCGCACGCTTCGTTCCATGACGCAACAACTACAATGGTCATAGGTAAAAGATGGTCAAAGATAGGCTCAGAGCAACATAGAGCAACGGATGTCCAATTATTACTATTTTCTTGGTAGGGGAACACTCAGTGCAGCCCAACTATGCTCTGTCAATCTCTGTCACACACACACGAAAGCTGTGCCCGTGTAGGGTGCGGTTGAATGCTGCTTCCACGCGCAGGCCAAAGTCAAGGCCAAGGCAGAGGCAGCGGCTGCAGAGACGCCGGATATGGAGAACATCATGAGCGGAGAGAACTTGGGCACGCTGCTGGCCTTGGCAAGTGGAGAGCGCGCGGAGGTGGCGCTTTCTGACGGTGATCAACTCATCGAGCAGGCTGCCAAGCGAGCCAGGACTGCAGAGGAGCCCTCCAACAGTGCCGGCTTTACTGAGGAGGAGGACCGTTCCAGAATTATCCAGAATTCCATAGAATCCCACCCTGTTCCGCCATATTCCTTTACTCGCCCTTATAAGGCCCTGAGCGCGTCTTGGTGTGTCTTAGATTGTCTTAGTATGTCTCAATATGTCTCAATATGTCTCAATATGTCTCAGATTGTCTCAGTACATCTTCAATCATAGGGCGTGCCCCCCGCATCTCGTTTGTATCTGGTGCCATCTTGTGCCCAATCAAAGCACATTCTGAGCACTTTGCGCTTGGCGTGCCTCAAATTATCTCAGATTGTCGCAAGAATCTTAGGATTGACCCAAAAATATCAAAAATGATAGGCTTTGCTTTTCCGATTTCTAATGGTTCCAATGGTTTCCGCCATTTTCCAATAGTTTCCACCATTTTTCACCATTTTCCATTAATATCCATTAATGACTGTAGGGGGTTGCGCATGTCTGCGCTGCACGTCAGTTTCCCCGAGGTGCCCTTGTTTCTTTATGTTTCTTTATGTTTCTTTATTGTCGCTTTACTGTTGGGTACTTCTGCTTCAAAGCATTTCAATTCCAACGTTTTCCTTGGCTCCCCCTTCATTTCCCCTTCATGTCGTTTTATTTCCTTTTTTATCCTTTTATATCCTTCTATCATCTTTTATCATCATTCATCATCATTCATCATCTTTCATCATCTTTCATCATCTTGTATCCATTCATTTCCCTGTCCTTTTCCAATGTCCCACGCATGTCCCCTTCATTTCCAGTCAGCTCCTTCCCCTTCACTTCCGGTCATTGCTGCTTCCCATCCCCTGCATGGCTTTGCGTTTCCCTGCGCTTCGCCGTCACTCCCCCCCCCCTTATGCATCTCATTTGTGTTATTTTGCGCTTCTCCTTCATTTCATGTTTCATTTCCCTATTTTCCCCCAAAGTTTCTCCGTATTCTGCGATGTTCTGCGTCTCCGCATGTCTCCGCACATGTCCCCTGCACTTTCCCCATGTTTCCCCTTCATATCCGGTTTGTCACTTCCCACTGCCCGGCAAAACGATGCCAAAAATATCCAAAAAGAACGGTGTCTTTCAGCCTGAAGGCCAAGAGTACTGACAAGCGCGAAAAGATGCGAAAAGGCATGAAAAGGCAGCCGAATTGTTTTCCTATGTTTTCCTATGTTTTCCTCAAACCCTACCTAATTGACATGTTTCCGGGGGGTCGTCCTCCATCCTCTGATAGATATCCGACATGCCGAACAATGTCGGCGGATACGTTCATAGATGTATGGATCATACGTTCATCAAAAATCATCAAAGTCCTATTCGTGTATGGACCCATATGGACCCCATGGTGTTGGCCTTCCTCAAGCTACTTGCCTAGCAACTTCCTCAGGGTTCGCCCCTCAGAAAAACATGGCTCCAAGTTTGTTGCGGTTTTCCATGGTTTTCCCCAAAAAAGTCCCCAAAAGGCGGCAGGCACGACATCTGAGCACTCCAGCAAAATCAGCTGGTCGTGCCTTTGGGAGCACGCTGAGTTCTTGAAGAGCGAGCCGTTGTCTGCCATTGTCAGTGTTTCACAGTTTCTGTTTGTTGCCTGCGACAACGGTGTGGAAGCAAATGGAAGCGATCAGCGGTCTGACACTACAACCAACAAAGTCTCACGGCTTTCGGAGGTGCGCGCAGAAAGTTGCGCCATATTACATCTTTGGCTTCTTGATGTTTCTTGGGGGTTTCAAGGCCTCAAACCCCCCCGAAATAAATGAAAGCTGCTATGGACCCCCCGTCCATGTGAAATTCCACCCCCCCCCGTCCACCCCCTTTAAGGGTGGGGCCATGCTGATAAGGATAATTTGTAAATGCTTGCTGACTATATTGGATGCAACCAGCCAGATTTGTCCGAACTTTGGAATCAGTCAGCCCACTTTCCACCGCTGTTGAAGACTGTCTGCGCATGGAGGTGAACTGAGCGATGCGACCAAGACCTTGAATGGCGAGAGCACAATCAAACAAAGACCCAACAGTGGAGGATTTGGGCTTGAATACTCGAGCGGTGTCAAAAAGACTGTCGCCCGTAAATCTCAATTTTTGGTTCAAAGAGTTCCATGTTTTTTGAAGAAACTCCAGTGTTTTTCTTGTTTTTTCGTTTTTAAAGCCGGCGGTGTCCGATTCGTGCCGATTTGTGTCCGATTCTGTTGGGTGATCGATCCGTCGAGGCCTGGATCCGGCTGAGCAACCTCAGGGGCCGCCCTGGAGCTTTGAGCTCTCCAGCTCCAGTGGGAGTGGGCCGCGGCATGGTTCAGATCTGTGGGCATGGTTTTTAGCGCGCGAGCAATCCGGCCTCCGGGGCGTTTTTCTTTTGGCCGGTTCCACGTTTTTTATTCTTCTGTTTTTTATATATTTTTTCTGGAGTTGGGTTTGGAAGAACATCTATGACATTATGACCTGGTGTTTGTTGTCAGGTCATGTTTTTCTCTTTTCTTTTTTCTGTCATTTGGGTTTGGAAGAACATGTGTCGCCTTGCCTGAAATGGCCTCAAATATGAAAGCTAGAAGTTAGGGGTGGGACCAAACCTAGGTTCGGATATCCGGCAGTTTGATTCTGCACCATTGCACCATGGGACTTGTCTCTCTGGACTGAACGACACCTGGTAGGGAGGACTACTCCTGACCTCCTTGGCACTGGTTGATAGCACATGAGCATGCTTCACCATAGCAATTGCCCATGGGGCGGTAGCCAGGCATTCCGGCTTTTCACGTTTTCCGCGCGATTTCGTTCGCTCGCGGCCAGACTCGAGCATCTTTGTGGTGAAGCAGATGTCACCATCCTTTCAACACCAGGAAGGTGTGCTCGCCGCCCCGGCGAATTGATTAGGTCCGCGCGAGGGGTGAGGGAGGGGAAATCATGTGGCGCGAGCTGGGCTCGGGATTCTGAGCACCATGAGCCATTCTGAGTTGGGGAAGTTTGCGCCAGATTGGAGCTTCAAACTTCAGCTCCGCTTTGGAGGAAGGGAAATTGATCAATGCTTGCTCCTCAGAGTGGGTGTAGTGGTTGGAGTCTGTGCGACAAATGCGGATGTTGTTCAAAGGGAAGAAAGAAGTCAGCTTAAACTTTGTGGACGCTTCCGAAGGCATTGGACGACTTTTCTGATAGTCCATGCTACGGACACATCGGGGACTCACCGAATCAATTCTCCACTCTTCGGGGACTCACCGAATTCTCTGGTTTTGGGCCTTGCAGATTCAGGCCACGGAGTCTCCATCCAAGCTGGTGTCTGCGACCGCGAAGGCGCGCGAACCGAAGAAACCCCGCGGCTTCGACTGACCTGTGCCAGCTGTGCCTCAGGCGGTGCTAGAGCGGTTCGGCGCCTGGAACGCAACGGAGCTCACAAGGCCGGGGTGGAACGCGGGAATGCAAGGGTAGATGAAGGTTAGTAAGGGGCAGTCGCAGCCGGAAATAGTTGCGCCCGCCTTTCTAATTTTTTACATGGTTCTGTTGGGGGTCGGAGGCCGTTTCTTTTCTCCGCGTCCCTGCGCGCGAGGCTCTTCGCCCTGCTCCTCGAAATGCATATGGTCACCGGCGGTCCGGTTTGTTGTGCGACCGCTGGCCTTGCTGACAGCCTCACTTCCTTGCCCTCCCCTGGCTTGAGCAATCTTGATGGGTCTTGCCAGGACTTGAGCGACCTGCTCGGATTGTGCCCCTCTTTCCCCGAGGCTTCGCTGGCCCGGTGCGTGTGGGGAAGCTGGCCTCCACAACCCCTGCTTGAAGTCGACGGAGCTGCCGCGAAAAAAGGTGTGCGAAAAAAATGGTCTGAGGAACAAATAGCGAACAAACAAAGTTCTCCCAACAGGTGACGTTCAGGCACCTACGCATTCATTTCTGTGCGCCATCCCTCATGGGAGGGTTCGAATGTGCGTGGACTGACTGCCGTAATTCATTTTTTCGCGCAGCTGCACTTGGTTTGTTATCGTGGCGCTGCAGGTTTCAGGTGGCATGGTAGCATGTGTTGTTTGCATTTGTTTTGCATTCCCGCATTCGTTTGGTCCAGACTCGCGCAGCGAGAGCGCAGTGCGTTACAATGCCTCATTACCCCATGGCACGTCAGTTTGCAGACTGCAGGCCGGGCGAGTGACAGACACGTCCGATAGGCTGCGGCTTGTTCGCCTTGAACGCACTGCGGCAATTGCAGGGGTTTCGTGCAGGCTGACTTCAAAAACCACCCATAAAACAGCTTCCGTGACTGGGGTGTCCGCCATTGGCATTGCAGGCATCAGCGCAAGTTCATGGCGAATCTAGCGCTGGCAGGGCGGATTGTATCAGTGCGCTGTGGCCTCTCGTTTCTTTATGAGGATGCAAGCGAGAGGGCTGCTCGGTCGGAAACAGCGCAGGGTCTCATGGGACACACAGCCAGATGCGGCTGCTTCAGTTTGTTCCCTGGTTTCCCTGATCAGCGCGCGATTATGGACAAATCCCGAACACCTGGATGTTCATGAAGGACAGTGTTGTTCTCATAGTGTTGTTCCGGAAGCAATTTGCCTTTTCAGCAGCGCCGACGTAGATTCAATACAATTGCGCAAATCATCTCTGAATCCTTTTTTTGGGAGGGGCTTTGTGTTATCGTAACATGTACTGTTAGGATCATACTCTTAAATCATGCTCAGGTTATTATGGATGTCCTTGAAAATTGCCACGGAGCGCAAAGTTCAACCCTTGCGGGAACGCAGCCATGCAAGCGAAAAACCTGGGCGTCCTGGCAACGCCCTCGCGTTGCGTGCGAGGTGGTCGCTGCAGCCTTGAAGAGATAGATTTGAAGCAGCAGCTGTGAGCGGTATACTGGTCCACTCAAACAATGCCAGGGAACCAGGATAAGAAAAACATGTTGGAACATACTTGAACATATGTTTTTCCTCTAGGTCGCGGAAGGCCCGCGAAAGGGTTTGTTGTTTCCACGCGTTCGAAAACACACGAGTCCTAACTTCCACAGAAGCCTCACACAGGCCCTCGCGAAACGAATTTGTTCGTGTTTGGTGCCCAACAAGAATGCAGAGCAACGTTCAGATGAATCATCGGATTTTGGAAATCCAGGCAGATTTTGTGCTGGATGTCTGCGTTGTTTCTTTCAATTGGTTATCCCATCCCTGCTTACTGTATTTTCCGTATTACTGGAGGCCCTTTGACCCGAGCATGTCTGCAAGCGTTGCCTGAAGCTGATCATGAGATCAAACCTGGTGTCAATATTAAACCGTTTTCTCATCGTTCAAGTGGCATTCACTTTTCTTTTCTTTTTGATTACTACTCCTCAGCGGCCGTCAGCGCAACTGTCTTGGAACTGGCCCACTGTTCTGTCCAACGTTTCCAACTAGTCATTTGGCGGCCTGGTGGTAGGACACACAGAAATGCTTGCTCTCAGGCTGGTCCTTTGGACTGATCCAACAGAGCTGGACGAATTCGACCCAGTTACACGATTCGCAGGACAGTCTGACCCGCATGCAGGGAGCTGCGCAAGGAGAATCCGCGAAGCACTTGCTCGAATGCAGCGACTTATGTGGCACCGGCGGCCTGGCGCTTGCGCAGCCAAGGTCGTGTTGCCCCTGTGCGTGTTTAGTTTTCGCTTGTGCTGGCGGGTTGCCTGGGTTGTTACGATAGATGTGGCCATGATTCATTTGGCCCCTTGTGCTTCACACTCGAGCTTGGCAGTCGCATGTGGGCTTCAGGTGCGGGACTGCAGTTCTAGATCTTAGCTGGCAAACAACCAATTTGTTGAGTCTGCTCGCGAATGAGACATGTGGGCTTGTTTGTGGACAGCAATGTGGATGATCAGATGCCGATTGGCCTCGCGGCGCCAAGTCAACGGTGCACCCTCGGACATGAGAGCGACTAATGAGAGCTGAGTTTCGGAAAGATGCTAAACCTCACCAAGCTCCGTTTCGTGGGGGGTTCTTAGCCAAACTCAGAAGAATTAGAGGTCCCAAAGCAAACCGCGCTCCGTGCGGTAGGCTCCCCAAAGCTGGGATATCTGGGCCGCACAAGTGCCCGTGCCGGGTAGCCGATGTGAAGAGGAGAGCCCCGTGTTGAAGATCGCAGCAATCGCACTGCAGTGGTTCCGTTTTGATTGTTTCGCTTCCAGAAGCCATGCAGCGTCCATGGTGCAACTTTCGGCGAGACCTGGGGGCGACGGCAGGGTCAAAGATGTTCGCGGGTTTGCGGTCCAAGGCAAAGTCCCAATCCGGCGGTGAACGCGGACTCACATTTGTTGTTCCCTTGGTCAGCGGTCTCGCACCAATATTCAGCGTCCGGCCGTTTCAAGGAAGCTGCTCTTTGCGCGGCTGCGTGCAAGTTGGTTCCGCACGGGCATGCCTCAAATTTCAATTACCCCCTTGAAGTAGTTGGCTTCCTGGCGTCCCTTTAAGCCGGCGCAAAAGAGGGTTCCCCCATATTGTTGAGACACATCAGAGTCCATATGCGGCTTGATTGCCACGCGATGCCGCGTTGAGCCCTGTGACTTGCACGACTTGCAGCTGGCTGCCTTGAGGCGTGCGGCAGTGCTCGGGGTTCCAACCCAAACCCGCTTCTCCATAAGCATTGCGCCCGCTCAGAATGCTGCCAGTCATACCAAAGTTCATCTCTGCTTTCGACGGGCCGCTCAGCTTGAGTGGACTTGACCTGCGCTGCATGGAGGTCGTGCTTCCGGGGTTCTATGGGACGGTGATATGAGAACTCGAGCGTTTCCTTTGCTAGCTTCTACAAACAGATGCTGGCACCTTGGCATCCGTTTATCCCAGCTCTCTTTGTTCACACGATAGCTTCTGAGAGATAGAGTGAGTGACCAAGACATGAATTGCTTGAGCCATTGTCCTTCTCTTCTGTGTGGCTTTCTGCGGCTGTTTCTTCCCTGCAGTTTTACCCGCTACTTCAGACATCGAAGTTGGCCCCTTTTGTGACAACCAACCTGAACGGGTGCTTTCTGTCGTGCGTCACTTTGCCCGGAAAATGTAGCTGCCCGGCACTTTGGAACACAATCTGATTCAGGGTTCCTAACCACGACCACCTTTGCAAGGCTCCCTTCTGGGGCCCTTGAATTTGTCGAGGTCGAACTTGCGAGCTCACACAGCCAGCCAGGCACACTCATGCCTCTGCGGGCTGCGACTGCACGTCGTCCTGCGAGCAAAGGCGGCGACCGAGTTCATCGGCCCTTCAAGTTTGCGTTCTGCGTCGCTACAGGCAAGGTGATATGAGAACTTGAGCGTTTCCTTCGCCAGCTTCTACAAACAGATGCTGGCACCTTCGCATCGGTTCACACGATAGCTTCTAGAAGTGAGAGATAGAGTGAGTGACCAAGACATGAACTCCTTAAGCCATTGTCCTTCTTTTCTGCGTGGCCTTCTGCGGATGTTTCTTCCCTGCAGTTTCACCCGCCACTTCAGACATCGAAATTGGCCCCTTTCGTGACAACCAACCTGAAACGGGTGCTTTCTGTCGTGCGTCACTTTGCCCGGAAGATGTAGTTGCCCAGCATCGGCCCTTCAAGTTTGCGTTCTGCGTAGGCTTGATGTCAGAGCGCGCGGCTTCGGCTGTCCGAGCTAAACGGAGCCTTGCTAGTTTTGCAATCTGTGACAGGGTCGCGTCTGACCTCTCCTTATGATGCACAGCCTTTCCCTGATGGCGCAGCGGGTGACTGCTGCGCTGGCTGCGAAGGTTGGGCGGATGTATCGGTCCATGTGGCACGTTCAAACTGGCAGCAGGCGTTGCTTGTTTCAGCTTTTCGGACCATGCAGCAAATCGACTTGCTGGAGGTTCTAGTCCTGTGTTGGGGAAGCAGCAGCTTGAACAATGTGTAAGCAAGTTTAAAGAAGAGGAAATAAGGCAACGCTCGTCAGCTATTTGGCCTACGGGGCAAATCAATCGGCACTGCCAGATCTCACAGCCTTTCATGCCAAACAGGGCTTCTTTTGAAAGCGATTGGCGAGACCTGGCACAGCTTTGCCTTGCCCCCATGCCCTTAATTGCCAAGAATGAGGAGGGACGCGCAACAAACGCAGTTACATTTTTCTAGTGATTGCTGCCAGCTGCGATTGTTGGGCAGATGCCAACTCGCAGGCAGCGTTTCGCGCCATGCAGCAAATCGGCTTGCTGGAGGTTCTAGTCCTTTGTTGCCAAAGGGCTGATTCCGGGCTGATGTCAGATCGCACGGCCTTCCATGCCAAACGGAGAAAGCCGGCATCGTTTGCTTTGAAGGCAGTGGTCGAGATGCGTTTTGCCGCTCCTTTTGATTGAAAGCCTTCACTCGTGGCCGCCGCGGCTGACCGTTGCTGTGCTTGGTGAGAACTTTGGGCAACTGCTTCAGCTGATGCTGCGATACCGGTCTACCAGCAGGTCCTGAATGGAGGGAGGCGAGATGCAAGTTAATTACAAAGCTCAACCAGTTGCTAAGTTCAGCATCCAAGGACCCCTTCTGGACGCTGAAAGGAAGGCCAGAACCCATTGTCTTACTTTGGAACACAATCTGATTCAGGGTTCCTAACCACGACCACCTTTGCAAGGCTCCCTGGGGGGGCCCTTGAATTTGTCGGGGTCGAACTTGCGAGCTCACACAGTCAGCCGGGCACACTCATGCCTCTGCGCGCTGCGACTGCACGTCGTCCTGCGAGCAAAGGCGGCGACCGAGTTGATCGGCCCTTGAAGTTTGCGTTCTGCGTCGCCACAGGCAAG